AAAATCATATACTTAAAAATATGTTTGCTGTACGATAAGGTTATTATCTCCCCTGTTACTTACATTTGTACTTTTACTATAGCAATCTTGCATTTGATTAATGGAGATTATATCAGAATAACTAATGAATATATATTACTTTGTTACCTTGTACAGTTCGGTTCATATCACCATGTATTTAAGATACGAAAGACAAGACGGTTTCTTTTTTTCCACAATCATCTGGATATTTTTGGAGATGGTAGATGCATTCACAGTCACAGTGTTTTAAATTAAAGATGATATATATATATATATATTCATCATTTTTAGCAAAACTATGAAACAAAAGTTTGTCAGCTTATTTAAAGCAAAAAATAATATTCATTGATTTAATCAAAAATCAAACCTATGAAACAAAAGTTTGCCAGCTACTTAAATGCAAAAAAAATATAGTCATTTGCATTATTGACAATCATAATGATTTTTTACTTTCAGAATTTGATACTACATTAGGATATTTATAAATTCCTGCTGTATATATATATTTTTTTATACATACTTACAGGAATCATACCTGTAGACAGTTACTATCCAGGTTGTGGAGAATTTTGTTGTTTGTCAGAATATGATGTTGGTAAGTAGAACTTGAGTGAGACAGACAACGTAAATAACTTGTTGGAAAATATAAACACTGTTTGTAAGAGCTTTGGAGATAGGAAGAAAAGCTAAGTTCTGTTGGACTTTTCTTATGTTTCACAGCAGATACCAACAAAACAAATAACATAAGAAAATAATGTTTTTAAAAGCTTTTTAATCTACACAGTAGTATTTGATTTTGAAACTAAATGTATCTAGGGTAGACAAAAATGTAAATTTTACAGACATTTATTCTCAGGAAAATCAATCAATTTTATCATTTCTTGTTTTTTTGTTTTCATCTGTTTATAAATTGAAAATTACCTCATTTCAAGAGAGTGCGGCCATCAACAAATACTTATAGTTCTGAACTACTTGATAACTGTGGGATATATATTTTCATAAATAATTTTCCCAACCAAAAGAACTGACTCATGTCAAATGTATAAACAAATTTAAAAGTGCCTGTCTACATGGAATATATTTTTTCTAAGCAAGTTAGCATATTAAATAGACACCTGTTTTTGTTGCAGACCATAGGTTGACACTTTTAAATGTCTTTAGGTTTTTGTGTTGATGAGTCATTAACTGTTTGAGTCATCATACCACACATCTCCTTTTATCTATATCTGTAGAACACTCTTTTTTATAACAAAACCACAACTATATGATGTTAAGATTATCTAGTGAACTATTGAAATACAAAGATACCTCTCTTGTGATGAAATTTAACTTTTTATGCCCCTGCTGTAGGCAACAGCCTGGGCATTAAGTGTTACCCTTGACCGTCCGTCACATTTTCGTTTCTGCACTCTATTTTGTATTTTGCCTCATGCAAATTTTATGAAATCATACACAATGCTAATAACCACAACACACAGACAGAGTTCAAATTTGGGTTGTGAGTAATTTACCGTTCTAGAGTTATGCCCCTTTTTAACTTGAAAAATTGCAAATATATCTTGAGCGGGGTTATTCATGTCCTCAGACACATTCTTCTTTTATTTAAATTATTCTATTTATTATATATACATGTTTCAGTAAAGAAACCTGAGAGATTAAGTTTTGAAGATGCAGCTGCAGGGATTGGTGACTGTGTAAAGGCATACACAGCTTTGTTTTATCAAGCCAGGGTCTGTTCTGGTGATACAGTCCTTGTTATAGATGGAGCAACACCTTTTGGACATGTCGTCATTCAGTTAGCAACACAATGGGGAGCAAAGGTTTATATAAAACAGTGTACATTAAAGTTGTGTTGGTTAAGAATTTGTTATTTACTGTTAAGAGTGGCGATTTCTGACAGTGAATTGCTGAATTTTTGTTTCGGTTTACTAACTTTAATTTGCCACAATCAAATATTATAAAACTTATACACAATGCTTATTACCACAAAACACAAATCAAGTTCAAAATTGGGTGGAGTCACTTTTACCAATCATGAGTTATATGGCCCTTTATAAATGGAAAAATTGCTAAATCTGTTGTTTCGGTTCTCTAATTTTAGTTTGCCTCGACCAAATGTTATGAAACTTATCCACAATACTTATTACCACAAAACACAGATCAAGTTCGAAATTGGGTGGCGTCACTTTTACCATTCTTGTGTTATGTCCCTTTTTAAATGGAAAAATTGCTAAATCTGTTGTTTCAGTTCTCTAACTTTAGTTTGCCTCAACCAAATATAGAAATATATGTCATTACCTTTAAAAGAAAAGAAAATGTCAGTAATTAGTATATTGACTCATGCATATTTACAAGCAGGGGCATCTGTGGCCCATAGACACATTCTCCACTTATTTTTCAAAGGTTGTTTGATTGTTTTTTCTTTTTGGTTTTCTTTTTCAAGCCAGATAATTTTTCTATAACATGATTTAAGTGACAGATAGAACCACATAGATTCCTTTTTTGTTAATTGTACTTAAAACATAGGAACAGAAAATAAAAGGGCTTTTAATTCTTAAAAACGGGAATAACTGAAGTTTAATACAATTAATAGTATAACTGTACCACAGAAATATCTCTTAGTATTTTCAGAAGATATAATGTATCATGAGTTGTAATACATTCTCTGTATGTTTTAAATGAATTAAGATTTGTTTGTGTGCTTCATTGATATATGGGATACATCAACATGATGATGATCTTTTATTCATTTTCTTGTTTGCCTTACCTGTAGGTAATAACTACAGCTAGTAGTCAGGATGAACAAATGTTTCTAGAGAAAGTTAACCCACCAGTTGGTAAGTCAGATTAATGTTTTCATTATTATCTTAGGTTTTTCATATAGATTTATATAAAGTAGAGTGCATGCAGGCATTCATTGACGGGGTTCAACGTTTACATTTTGGATAACCATGACCATGATGTTTTACTTGTCTGAAAAAAGATATTTCATTCGGTGATTGTTGATCTAAATTTTTGTTGCTACCGGTAATTAATTATTGGATTTTAAAGCTGGATTTAACCAACTTGTAGAAAAAGTGAGATGTTAGATTGATGTTTATTTGTTGTTTTTTTTTTTGTATATTTTCCATGCATTCCCATTTGAAAATTAAACTTTGTCATCATAATTGTTAGATAGTTATTTCTTTTAGAAACGGTTAAAACTATCTTCCTTCTATGTTTGTTTACTTTTCCTTCCATCACAGTTTTTGTCTTCCCACTTGTACTGTGCCATTGTTAGATTTCTAAAAAGAGGTGTGATGGTAAAGGGTACTGCCTAAGCTGTTGGCAATTGGAGTATGTGATGACAAAAATTCAATAGACATATATTTTTTGAAGATTTTGATAAGATAAAGGATTAACTTTTAAAAGCAAGTCTATGTTCACATGTTTTGTAGTGAAACTTAGCCATTCAAATATATAAAACATATTCATCTTTTTACTTGTTTTGAAGGATCATATGACTTTAAGAACTTTCTTTACAGCTCAGATTATTGACATAGAGAAAAGAAGTAATATTTTGGTGAGCAGTGTGATGGAAGAGACTGGAGGTGTTGGTGTGGATGTAGTTATTGATAATGGAGGTTGGGAATAAAAGAGAGATTTTTATACTTTCAATATTTTTCCTTTTTAAGAGATGATGTTTAGCAACTCAGAAATTAAAATTTGTGATGAATAATTTCAAGAAAGAAAATATGAAAAGTTCTCTGGCTTAGGTATATTCTCAAGAAAAAGGTATTTATTATGTTCTTCTATGTACTAGCTCAGTCAAAAAAGGCAATGAAATTAAAACATTAACACAAATGCATATGCCATTTGGATTCATTATTTTTTGTGGGATACTAATTTTCATGGACTTTGTTGCTTGAGATGACTCAACCACAATTTTAAAGGTTAAAAGACGTAAAAATTTTCTATTAGCTTGTATGTAGACTTTGGCAAAACCATGTAATCAAATATCAATGAAAATAAACTTTAGATCAATCCACGAAAATTGGTACCCAGGAAAAAATAAATGAATTCACAATACTAGTAAAAAATATATATATATATATTAGCATTGTTACATCATCTTTGTAGTGCATAAATCTTTATAAATTTCTGAATAAATTAAGTAGATTGCATTAAACAATTAATGAATTAATATTAAATAAAAATGAGTGGCCTTGATGGGACTTGTTATTTACTAAACTTTGAAAGTTTGAGGTATATATGTATATCAGCCTGTCTGTCCATCCCTATGCTCGAGTAATTTATAAACTTCTTGATCCTCTGTAAATTTGCTCAAACTTTTCTACATTTTAATACAAACAATATACATTTATAACAATAGTGCACACGCTGAAATGTCTCTCCTTCTTTACTCTTCATTGATATGTTGATAGTCCTAAAAATAAAGCTTTACTACAACTATCACATAAACTTAACATGATCCATGAAAATGAGGTCAAGGTCATATAAACCAAACGAGAAATACATGTACACCTTACAATCATTCAATACACTAAATATAGTTGACCTATTGCTTATAGTTTCTAAGAAACAGACTTAACCAAGAAAACTAAACATTGACCAATGAACCATGAAAATGAGTTCAAGGTCAGATGAACCATGCCAGGCAGACATGTACAGCTTACAATCCTTCCATACAACAAATATAGTTGACCTATTACTTATAGTTTAAATATAGTTGACCTATTACTTATAGTTTAAGAAAATCAGACCAAAACACAAAAACTTAACACTGAGCAATGAACTGTGAAAATGAGGTCAAGGTCAAATAAAACCTGCGAGACTGACATGTACATCATAAAATGTTTCCATACACCAAATATAGTAGACCTATTGCATATAGTATTAGAAAAAAAGACCAAAACTCAAAAACTTAACTTTGACCACTGAACCATGAAAATGAGGTCAAGGTCAGATGAAACCTGCCAGTTGGAAATGTACACCTTACAATCATTCCATACACCAAATATAGTAGACCTATTGCATACAGTATAAGAAAAACAGACCAAAACACAAAAACTTAACTATAACCACTGAACCATGAAAATGAGGTCAAGGTCAGATGACACCTGCCAGTTGGACATGTACACCTTACAATCCTTTCATACACCAAATATACTAGACCTATTGCTTATAGTATCCGAGATATGGACTTGACCACCAAAACTTAACCTTGTTCACTGATCCATGAAATGAGGTCGAGGTCAAGTGAAAACTGTCTGACGGGCATGAGGACCTTGCAAGGTACGCACATACCAAATATAGTTATCCTATTACTCATAATAAGAGAGAAATTTACATTACAAAAAATCTTTACTTTTTTTTCAAGTAGTCACTGAACCATGAAAATGAGGTCAAGGACAATGGACATGTGACAGACAACTTCGTAACATAAGACATCTATATACAAAGTTTGAAGCATCCAGGTCTTCCACCTTCTAAAATATGAAGCTTTTAAGAAATTAGTTAACGCTGCCGCCGCCGGATCACTATCCCTATGTCGAGCTTTCTGCGAGAAAAGTTGCAGGCTCGACAAAAATCAGAAACCAGTTCAAAATAAAATGAATATAGTTGAAAAAATTATACAATTAAAAAATATTACATATAAGTTACATCTGAAAGTGTATTGTGTGTTTAGAGATCTATGCCAGAAGAGGTATATCAGAAATACTGAAAATACATATGTAATGGTCCAGGAAACAGGTTTCTAGTTATAGTTATCTCCCTTTACCAATGAACTCTTGACTTACCAATTACTTGTTAAACAAGTTTCTTTGTCCATTACAAATGCATTATATGTTTTTCTGATACATAAGTAAATTTAACTTATATTTTCTTAAGATTCTAAGCTTGCATATAGATTGGTTATTGGTCATTATAGCTATATTTGGGGGTTATAAGATTTTTACTTGATGAATGGACTGAAAAGGAATATATCCAAATAAAATTGTAGATATATTAATATATCTATTTACATTTTTTAAGTGAGAATGTTTACTCAAGATGAGGATAAACGAGAAGTTGAGGAGAAAAGAAAATATCCTGTCCTTCATAAGCATGATGTCATATCCTGTTTGGGGATGTCTGGGAAATGGATCACAAGCCAAAGTGACTTGCAGGTATATCTGTTACTGCTAAAATCTTACCAAGATATTTTATAGTGTAAACTTATGATGAAGACTTGTTTCCCTTGGAAACAGTAGCTAAAAGTTTCTCTCTTGTTCTAAAATGGTCTTTTGTAGAATGCTATGAAGACTTTTCTGAAACATGGTATTAAACAATTCATGCCATTTTGCATAAGGGCTGAAACAGTACACCTACCTTAGGCCACTGTTTGATTTCAATACTGTTTTGAAGATTTTATTTGACCAAATATTAAGTTCATAAATGCTACATAGCATGCAGAGTCAATGGATGTTTTAAGCTTTGTACAAAAAAAAGTTTGAAATAGACAAAAGTAGCATATACAAGCATTTTTCAGTTGCAATTTAATGCATATCAAATCATAATTTAAACTAAATTCAAAATAACACACCTTAAATAAGTGGATCTTTTGTATATTGTTAGGCTAAGCTATGTCTCATCTTCTTTTTTGTTTGTTCTTACTTTTATTTATAATTTTAATTTTTTTTAAATGCCATATATATATATATATATATATCGCTTATACCATCTCGTAAAATAAGGTATCTGTATACAAGTTATGAAGCATGCAGATCTTTCTTTTGAAATAGACAAAAGCTTTTATTTTATAAGGAACTTTATTTTTATAACAAACTTTTTATTTAAATCTAATATAAAAGTATCGGTATATGTTTAATATCTGTATTTTTGCAGCTTGATCCACCAGACAGCCAGCAGTTATTTCTACGAGGTGCTAGTGTTAACTTCCTGTTTGAGAATATGTGGACCTTGTCATATGCCCAGCATGGAAGATACCAACGTATCCTTTATATACAGTCAAACCTGGATAAACCGGTTTCTTGTCCATTCCGGCCAGAATTGAAGGCCTATTTTTCTCTTCAAAGTCTTTGTAAAAATACCCTTTGTAAACCCAAACCTGTGTATTCCGAATTCCGAATTCTGGTCTAATTATGCAGTCCTCATACTATCAATTACATCAATTATTACCTGTCAAAACCGGTTTGTAATTAATTCAAAATTGATAACAGTATTGATCTATATGCAATCAAAACATAATTGTTTATACAGGATAGTTTTTCAGGATAATCAATGAGTAAGGTGTTAAACCGTGAACTTACAGTAGTGAGCTGTATTATTGAAACACTATAAAAGTTTTATTTAAAATTTAAAATAAACTAAAAGAAACGCCGAATATATCTCAGATAGAACTTAATTGTAACTTTGATAATTTTTTCAAATCGCGGAGTAAGACATTTACATAGTGTTTTCTAAATGCTGGGTTCCCTGTTGTGAACCCCGAAACCAATGACCCTGATAATGGAGAAGACCCGGATGACGACAATCCATGGGTATCGTACACTATATGACAATGTTTCGATCATGATGAAATTGCGTTTGATAAAATTCTGGCTTTTTAATCAGCTATACCATCGTAGGAAATGAACGATGGAAGTAAAACGAAACTCTCGTGTAACAATTCAAACAATGCAAAGATTCAGTTGCAAATGAAAACAATGAACTGAAAGTGGAAGTGACATAATAATATGAAACTGACCAGTAGGAGACTGATGCTACCGAGGTCGATTTGATATACGAAGATATGTAAAAAAGGTTAAAATATAATTTTTTGAATTCAGGGATCAACCTATTCTTAAATTTCTAAAGCCAATGAATACAGAGACTCAAAACAAAGATTGTGTGTAGTTATTACGGTATTGTATTTATTAGTTTACAATTTACAATTTACAATCAGACTGAACTTTTACATGCAAAATATCTGACGTCACAAGTCATTAACTTCCGGTCACAACTGAAACCTGATTTACGATCAGACAGAACTTTTACATGCAAAATATCTGACGTCACAAGTCATTAACTTCCGGTCACAACTGAAACCTGATTTACGATCAGACAGAACTTTTACATGCAAAATATCTGACGTCACAAGTCATTAACTTCCGGTCACAACTGAAACCTGATTTACGATCAGACAGAACTTTTACATGCAAAATATCTGACGTCACAAGTCATTAACTTCCGGTCACAACTGAAACCTGATTTACGATCAGACAGAACTTTTACATGCAAAATATCTGACGTCACAAGTCATTAACTTCCGGTCAAAACTGAAACCTGAATAAACCAGACAACTGTCAAAACCTACCCTTTTTCATAGTCCCATAGCCGGCCGGTTTATACACGTTTTACTGTACTAAGAAATCTATGTGTGACATCTTTCTCTTGGTTGATTAACAAATCATGTGCCAGTTCAAAGTCTTTATCATGGCAAACAGAATTGGATGATTTTGATTCCATCATCCTGAACATGTATGAAATATTTGCCACTGGATGTTAAGCAACCAACAATCATCATGATATGAGTCCTTGAAAAAAGATATTTGTGACGAAACATTTGTAAATAACCAAGGACTTATAGATTGTTGTTTGTTTTACATCCAGTGGCAAATGTTTCATGCATGTTCAGAACAATAGTTACCAAGGGCAAATAATAAATGCCATTATTTAATCTTTAAAACTAACAAGAATAAAAAGAAAAAATTTTATCCCTCTAATTAATTTGGTATAAAGGGGAGATAACAATTAACATATTACTAGATTTACCATTGTTGCTAGAGACAAGTGCAAGATGAGTAATTGATTGACTTGGTATATCTTCCATTACGTCAACAGTTTTCTTTTAGCATTATTCAAGCTTTGAAAAGTGATCACTCACAGATTGAAGATGTGAACCTCTCTTACTTTAAAAAGATTTGAATGATTTTTTCTTAGATTTAACATGTGTTCAGCTAAGTTATTACTGTGGTTGAATGCTAAAGAGGTAACTCCATCATATTCAAACATCACTGTAATGCAGGTTCAGACAAGGTATTGGTCCTATTTTTCCAAATTAAAGACGATTTTGATGAAAAATGTCTCTTTTTTCCATGGAAGTATTATATCTAATATCCAAGCTATAGTTAAAGAAGTTTACCAAAGTACTTAAATATTTTCACCAAATTTGGACATAGTTTTAATACATATTGTTGTATCACTTGACTATGAATCTTGAATATATTAAATATCAATTGTCAGTCACCTAACTATAAGAACCAACCTTGGTACACATGTTGAAGCTGAAGTTGAAGTCACTACACAGTTGACATCTATGAACAGGTGCCTCACTAGCTATAAACTGATTTGATGTTGATGATGATGGGTGGCTGGTTAACGTCCAGCAGCAAATTAATATGAATATTCAGGAAGACAACATGTTAATATAAAATGAATATTTACCATGATTTGTACTAGACCGTTGACAAACTGACAATGCCATTACTTGCAATAGCATTTTTAAATTTTATATACATGTATTGTTATTATGATGTTGCTAAAAATGAGAGCATCAGAAATTTTTTTAAAATACAATGAAATCTTCAATCCTAGTTGATGTATGTATTTGAAAGCAATTTGTGATAAACAAGTTCAGCAAGTGATGCACAAAATTTCCATGTAGTCCCGTTGTTTGCCCATTTTGTCTAGGTTAAATTGCTACCTTTTTCAGTACCTATGTTTGTAAGTCATAATTCTACTACAGATGTTTGCTTTTGTATTCTATGTAAGGATTCTTGATAATGATTCCCTGATGCCATTAAGAAACAGATGTGAGAAGAAGACATTCTTATTTCAAATCACTTGGGTAATGAAAATAAGAGTAGAAAGGGTGGCTCATATAAATGACTGGTAGTGGCTAACAATGAAAGATTGTGTTAGTTAAAGCAAGAACACATAATTAAAATATTTAAAGTAAAAAGTACTTAACTTTATTGAAAATATCTGTAACTCATAAAAAATAATAATTGGGTTAAATTGTAATACATGTACTATTATTGTTCCTTAATGATTTATAGATATCCTTCATGATGCCATTAACAAACTGGAAAGAGGAATAGTAAAGTAAGGTTTTATTGAGTTCTGTTTTCTTTGCGCTTGTTGTTAAACTATCAAGTTGTTGTTTAATGGTTTAATTATATTTGTCTTTATTACAGAGCTAATGAAACAAAAATGCTCTCCTCTTGTTATACTTTAAAAATTCCAAAAACTAGATAACTATAAATACCCTCTTAGTAGGCTCTAAATAAAAAAAACAGAAAAATTGAATATTTCCAGTATAGATACCTTAACAGTATGTCTCTTGATACATGCACCTTCATGTGTAAATAAAATAATTAGTCAAAAACACATTACTGTTACAATGGTCAGTTTTTAACTTATTAGTACAAATGTTCTTGCCAAAAGGTTGTGGTTCTGTCCAGGCAAATAAAAAATGACCACCATATTACCAATAATTAATAGTGATGAATGTGTCAATAAACACCAACAATCAATCATTATAAGCACAAGGTTTCGAACTTTTGGTCAAATACAGCACACCAGAAACTCATTTAATAACACTTAGAGAAAGTGAAGCCAAGAGTCAATATGCATGTAGTTATTTAGACTGTATATCAGGTACTTTCGATAGTATTTTTATGCCCCACTTAGGGGCTTTATGTTTTTCAGTCTGTGCGTCTGTTCGTCTGTCCCTCCGTTAGTTCGTTCATTCATTCGTCTGTTAGTCCGTCTGTCCTGCTTCAGGTTAAAGTTTTTGGTCAAGGTAGTTTTTGATGAAGTTGAAGTCTAATCAACTTGAAACTAAGTACACATGTTCCCTATGATGTGATCTTTCTAATTTTAATTCTAAATTAGAGTTGTGACCCCAATTTCATGGTCCACTGAACATAGAAAATGATAGTGCGAGTGGGGCATCCGTGTACTATGGACACTTTCTTGTTATACATGTATTTTATACACATTTTAGGACAAAGATAGCCAAAACTGTGAGTTTAGAGGAGGCTGTGAATATATTACCTGAGTTAGAGAACACTAGAATTGGAAAAACTGTAGTAAACATGTAGCTTAACACCCAGGGCTCTACTTGTATTTGTGCAATATCAATAAAATATTACTTTATTTCTTTAAGATTTCAATTCAATTGATATCAATTTAACGTCATGAGCCCTTGGTTTAGTCCTAAGACATAAAAAAATTATGTATATATGCAAGTTTCTTGCCTCCTGGTTAGAAGTTATGTAAAATAGTTAAATTTACATAATGTTGATTTATTACATGTATTATTCGTGGGATACTAATTTTCGTTGATTTTGTGGATAAAGGTTAACCACTACTTTCAGTGTTTGAAGAAGTAGAAATTTTCAATAAGCTCGTAAGCAGACTTTGGCAAAACAACAAAATCAAATATCCACGAAACACAATTTTTCCTTAATCCACGAAAATTGGTACCCACGAAAATAAATGAATCCACAGTAGACTGTATAGGGATTAGGACTTTAGGAGTGCTTTAGCAAAAATGTCTAGACCTTGAGAAGAGTTTTGCTTAAAATGTCTGAACAATAAGAACAATACTAAAAATACAAAATGTATGTTCAAAAATGTGATGGGTAGGCATGACCATTTTGGTTAGGAAGGGAGGCAGGAAAAAGAACTAAGTTGTTTTTGATATATTTCCATTTTAAACACTCTGTAGCTTAAGGCCTAGAGCACTATTTAAATCTCTTTAACAATGTGTCAAATTAAGCTCGATTCATTGGTCTGTTGCGTAAACTTGCATGGGACATTTAAATTTTGCCAAAAAACCTATGTTGACCTGTAGATGAGCCCAAAGTAGCAATAAGTTAGAGGAAAATATTGCCATTATTTTGCATGTGGCATCTAGTAATGTCAATAATTAATCAAAACATTTTCAAAAAATCTGTTACTCTTAAAACCTAGATGTATTGATTACAAAACTAAGAAATAAAGATTTTAAGGTTCATAGGTTTATAATATTCTAGTTATTCTGCCTTCTAACAACATGGCTGCTTATACTGAAAAAGACAAATAAAGATTAACGACTATATAGACCCATGTAATATATTGAAGAATGTATACATCTGTGTCATTTGGTCTCTTGTAAAGAGTTGTCTCATGGACAATCATAACTCATCCTTTTTATATGTATGTTGACTTTTAAATGTCTTTTTTGTTTTTTAAGTTCACCTGGCCTGAAAGAGTCATGTGAGCTTTTGCCATATCTTTGCATCTGTCCTCTGTCCAATTGATGTCCTCTGAAACTACTCAATGGGACCAAACCAAAGTTTGCCTACTTCATCTATATGATGTTAACTACAACATTTTTGTCCATTATGATCAACTAACATGGCTGTTGTGTCTAAAAAAAGGGGTCGCCCCGATATTCCGACACCCCATTTATCCAACACCTCATTAGTCCGACAACCCACTGGTCCGACATCCCATTAGTCCGATGCCCCAATAGTCCGACAAAGGTTAATTACTGCCATAATAGAAAATCTACTTAATAAAATCATTGCTGATGTGGTATTTGAACTACTCTTTCTTAAAATATTAAAATAAGGAGATGAGGTATGATTGCCAATGAGACAACTGTACACCAAAGTTTTAAAAAAAAGTGGATGTAAGCAATTATAGGCAACCGTACAGCTTCAACAATGAGAAAAACCCATACCATATAGTCATCTATAAAAATATGAAACAATTCAATTGAGAAAAATAACTTCATAATTTATAACAAAACAATTAACGAAAAACAAATTTGACAAGACATGAACCAACGACAACCACTGAACTACAGACTCCTGAATTGGGACAGGCACATAAAGAATGTGGCGGCTTTAAACATTTTTGTGAGCGCTCAACCTTCCCGTTACCTGGGACAGTGGTGTAACAGCAACAACATAAGAACAAACAATAAAAATCAGTTGAAAAAGGCTTAACTCATCAGATCGATACAAAGCAGAAAAATCATCTAACAAAACACAGATCAGACGTGGCAGAGTATTTATACATCCCTCATCCCTATCACAAAGGACACACATTACATATATGAGAGTAATCGCAGTTACTGACAGCTAGTTCAAAGCCAATAACAGCTAATAAAAAATCATGTATCTTAGACTAAAATAACAATCAGTACACATCCAACATCCACTGGATTTAGTGTAAAGACGTCAATAACAGCCAGAGAAAAACATGACCTTGTGCAATGACAAAATAAAGATATGATGAATAATCGACAGATTGTAGTACTATTAAAGTGCATAAGTGTATAACAAAACTATTTAGTATGATTTTGATTTACTGATAACAAAATCAATTTTTATACCAACAAGAGTGCACACGCTGAAATGTCTCGCCTTCTTTACTAATCATTGATATTATGTTGATAGTCCTAAATATAAAGCTTTATTACAACTGTCACATAAACTTAACATTAACCAAGTAAACTAAACATTGACCAATGAACCATGAAAATGAGGTCAAGGTCATATGAACCATGCTAGGCAGGCATGTACAGCTAACAATTCTTCCATACAACAAATATAGTTGACCTATTGCTTATAGATTAAGAAAAACAGACCAAAACACAAAAACTTAACACTGAGCAATGAACCTTGAAAATGAGGTCAAGGTCAAATAAAACCTGCGTGACTGACATTTAGATCATAAAATATTTCCATACACCAAATATAGTTGAACTGTTGCATATAGTATTAGAAAAAAAGACCAAAACTCAAAACTTAACTTTGACCACTGAACCATGAAAATGAGGTCAAGGTCAGTTGACACCTGCCAGCTAGACATGTACACCTTACAATCATTCCATATACCAAATATAGTAGACCTATTGCATACAGTATTAGAAAAAAAGACCAAAACTCAAAAACTTAACTTTGACCACTGAACCATGAAAATGAGGTCAAGGTCAGATGACACCTGCCAGCTAGACATGTACACCTTACAATCATTCCATACACCAAATATAGTAGACCTATTGCATACAGTATAAGAAAAACAGACCAAAACACAAAAACTTAACTATAACCACTGAACCATGAAAATGAGGTCAAGGTCAGATGACACCTGCCAGTTGGACATGTACACCCTTACAGTCCTTCCATACACCGAATATACGAGACATATTGCTTATAGTATCTGAGATATGGACTTGACCACCAAAACTTAACCTTGTTCACTGATCCATGAAATGAGGTCGAGGTCAAGTGAAAACTGTCTGACGGGCATGAGGACCTTGCAAGGTACGCACATACCAAATATAGTTATCCTATTACTTATAATAAGAGAGAATTTAACATTACAAAAAATCTTAACTTTTTTTTCAAATAGTCACTGAACCATGAAAATGAGGTCAAGGACATTGGACATGTGACTGACGGAAACTTCGTAACATGAGGCATTCATATACAAAGTATGAAGCATCCAGATCTTCCACCTTCTAAAATATAAAGCTTTTAAGAAGTTAGCTAACGCCTCCGCCGCCGCCGCCACCGCCGCCAGATCACTATCCCTATGTCAAGCTTAAAAATAAGTCGCAGGCTCGACAATAAAAACAATATTCAAAGATCTAATTACAGTGTTGATATTGTAACCTTTTAGAATAAGTTTATTTAAAGGATTGATAAGTTTACCCGGATCGTATATAAATTTACGGACTCGGTAAACATTATCACCGTAAAATTTAGGATGTGCTATTCCGTTTGAAATACGTTTTTTTACAGGTACAGCCAAACTTGCAAACCAAATCTTTGTATCTAGGGAAGAATTCAATAAAGGTTTCAAGTAATTTGTGGTAACGAAATCTCTGACTTAATAATTTACCAGTAATACATAGATTACGCTCATTTAAATCCAAAACGTCACTACACACATGGGCATAACGAATGAGTTGGGATACATAAACACCGTAAGATGGCACCAGAGGAACATTACAGTCACAGTCCAAAAAAGGAAAATTAACGATAGGAAAAGAAAAATCACCCCTTTTGTCGTAATTTTTTGTGTAGAGTTTCTGGTGTAAAACTGGAATAGTCTAGAAAAGTACACTTATGATATTGTTGTTAGTATTTGTTTTCTTTAAAGTTGCTGTGGGTAAATTTCGGCAGTTTAATTAGAGAATTCTTGATTATTTAACGAAAAAATATCATCAAGATAGTGATAAGTGTTGTTGAATATATCAATTAATTGGAATTTATACGGGTCTAGACATGTACACCTTACAATCATTCCATATACCAAATATAGTAGACCTATTGCATACAGTATTAGAAAAAAAGACCAAAACTCAAAAACTTAACTTTGACCACTGAACCCTGAAAATGAGGTCAAGGTCAGATGACACCTGCCAGCTAGACATGTACACCTTACAATCATTCCATACACCAAATATAGTAGACCTATTGCATACAGTATAAGAAAAACAGACCAAAACACAAAAACTTAACTATAACCACTGAACCATGAAAATGAGGTCAAGGTCAGATGACACCTGCCAGTTGGACATGTACACCCTTACAGTCCTTCCATACACCGAATATACGAAACATATTGCTTATAGTATCTGAGATATGGACTTGACCACCAAAACTTAACCTTGTTCACTGATCCATGAAATGAGGTCGAGGTCAAGTGAAAACTGTCTGACGGGCATGAGGACCTTGCAAGGTACGCACATACCAAATATAGTTATCCTATTACTTATAATAAGAGAGAATTTAACATTACAAAAAATCTTAACTTTTTTTTCAAATAGTCACTGAACCATGAAAATGAGGTCAAGGACATTGGACATGTGACTGACGGAAACTTCGTAACATGAGGCATTCATATACAAAGATGAAGCATCCAGATCTTCCACCTTCTAAAATATAAAGCTTTTAAGAAGTTAGCTAACGCTGCCGCCGCCGCCGCCACCGCCGCCACCGCCGCCAGATCACTATCCCTATGTCAAGCTTAAAAAAAAGTCGCAGGCTCGACAATAAAAACAATATTCAAAGATCTAATTACAGTGTTGATATTGTAACCTTTTAGAATAAGTTTATTTAAAGGATTGATAAGTTTACCCGGATCGTATATAAATTTACGGACTCGGTAAACATTATCACCGTAAAATTTAGGATGTGCTATTCCGTTTGAAATACGTTTTTTTACAGGTACAGCCAAACTTGCAAACCAAATCTTTGTATCTAGGGAAGAATTCAATAAAGGTTTCAAGTAATTTGTGGTAACGAAATCTCTGACTTAATAATTTACCAGTAATACATAGATTACGCTCATTTAAATCCAAAACGTCACTACACACATGGGCATAACGAATGAGTTGGGATACATAAACACCGTAAGATGGCACCAGAGGAACATTACAGTCACAGTCCAAAAAAGGAAAATTAACGATAGGAAAAGAAAAATCACCCCTTTTGTCGTAATTTTTTGTGTAGAGTTTCTGGTGTAAAACTGGAATAGTCTAGAAAAGTACACTTATGATATTGTTGTTAGTATTTGTTTTCTTAAAAGTTGCTGTGGGTAAATTTCGGCAGTTTAATTAGAGAATTCTTGATTATTTAACGAAAAAATATCATCAAGATAGTGATAAGTGTTGTTGAATATATCAATTAATTGGAATTTATACGGGTCTTTACTGAGTTTGGCCATAAACTGTGATTCATAACAGTTCAGGAACACGTCTGCTATTAAAGGGGCACAATTGGTGCCCATAGGAATACCTACAATCTGTCGATGAACATTATTGTACATAAATGTTGTCAAGCAGAAGATTTATGGCTGTGATCATCTCATCACACCTCCAGTAAGTATATCTAGCATATTTACCTTTCTTGTTTGAGAAAAAGGCTTTATATGAGTAGCAGCAAATAAATTTGCAATAAGATTTATCGAACGACCATTTAGTTAATTTAGTTAAATAGAAAAACTAGAAAAAGATTGTGTGGAATAGTTAAAACAGTCAACCGAATCAAAAGGACCATCACAAGCACGTATGTTATCTGAAACATCCAAGAAATTCCACAATTTGGGGGGGGGGCCATTTAGTTAATTTAGTTAAATAGAAAAACTAGAAAAAGATTGTGTGGAATAGTTAAAACAGTCAACCGAATCAAAAGGACCATCACAAGCACGTATGTTATCTGAAACATCCAAGAAATTCCACAATTTGGGGGGGGGGGGGGGGGGGGGGCTAGGATGAAATTTGAAAAAAAATAGGCAGGACAGGATTTTTGAGTAAAAAAAAAGGCAGGATGAGACACTTTGCAAAAAAAAAAGGCGGGATGACAATTTATGTAAAAAAAAGTCAGGATAAACTAGAAAAAAAGGCAGGACCGAATAGAGTGACAGGACAGAGATTACAACTAAAAAAAATGCAGGACAAAATTGTTCATCCTACAATTTAGCTGTTTTCATTAATATTGCTATTTACCAGCACGTTTTTGTTTTGTTCTTGTGAACTCGTTACTCAAAACAGCACTGGTGTTAAACTGATAATCGTAACTGGAATTACGACGATCCCAATATGGCGACGACAGAAATAGGTAAAATCTTTTCAGTCATTTTTTCCAAATGTAGCCCGTTGAACATTGTCAAGAGTTACTCAGCTGCAAGGTTTTTCTATGCGGAGTGGCTATTTCTAGCCGGACGAATAGTGCTAGGGCTATTTGGTCCGGCCATTGCAATGCGCATGTCATTTTATGTGCGTACGGAATCGCGTGTAACATTATCTTCAACAGCACCAGGGGGTCGCATATAATCCGATCACTGATTTTCAATTTTTAGATCATGGCAGAATATACCATATTACATCATATTTGAATCGTAACGGTGCACTATAATTGTCTTAGCGCTTTGAAAATTGCCGTAAAAAAATTCGGGATGATAACTCGTAATTCGATGGTATTTTTCTTGTTTGATAATCGTAATTTCTTTATGTGATAAATATATAGTAACTGAAAAATAATAAATGTGTCTTCCAGCTTGTCAATGGTATTTTGTGGGTAAAAACGGCAATGTCCAGTTAAACGATGACATTAACGCGAAAAATAAAAAATAATGAAGCAACTTACTGGTTAATATTTATGACAATTTTTGAAATTTACTTACATGTATATATATCTCGATTTATAACTGATAACAATATGCATAACCTTTTAATATACACATGTACCTGTTAAAGATATGGAAATTGAAGCAGCTGTCGAGTCAGTTGTTGTGGTAAATAGATAATTTAAATTCTTTCAAAGTTTCAATGTTGTTTTCGCGTTTAGGGTACTAATTTGTGCTTTATAGCTTGACACAAATAAAGTGGATGACGTAGGTTGACCGCTGTCCAAACTTTTAAGACGTTTTGTTAAACTTTGCTAGACATATAACCGAACTAATAAACTGTACGTGTATGAAATAAAATAAACTGCATTTTTCTATTACAATATATGCATATTGTAATAAAGAAAATGAGTCAAAATTTCTAGTCTAAGCCAATTATCAAAATAAATTTGACCAAGTCAAAGAACAGTGAAAAGCGACCAAGTTCAGATAAGCGGCTGCAAATTTGTGGGTTTTTTATGTGCACAGTCACCCAGGATAAATTTACAAAATTTACTTTAGCTTATTACAAGTTAAATTCAAATAAATGTTATCTAGTTTTACCTAGTTTCCAGATCTTAATTTAATAATAATAATAATAATAATAATAATGAAAATTTATAAAGCGCCCTATATAAAAAATAAAAATTATTCTAAGGCGCTGTACATTCAACATGGTAATTAAAACAAATCAATGACAAAAACATAAAACATACATTGTGTCAGATTCAAATACTGAAAAAAAAAATACAACAAAAATGCCTACCATAAAATAAAAGGTCAATACGCAAATACATGTTAAAACAAAAAATTAAAAAATTAGCAATATAGGCTAAAAGCATGCAAAACAAGCAAAAACTCTAAAAAGGAATACAAAAAGTTGCATTAAAAGTTGATACAAAGGGATTATATTAGCTCCAAATTTCACTTCCATAAAGAAGGATATTAGGCTTATTAAGTATTATATAATAGTATGATCAAAAACAAATATATTAAGCTAGGATTAGAGATAATAAATATTTTCCTAACTTATGCTTTTAAAGCTTTCTTGTTGTGTAATTCATTCTGATCATAGCTTACACCCCAGTTCTATTGTTATTATTATACTTCATAGTTTCTATTTCTGAAACAAGTGTAAATTGAATAGATATTGTTACGAATAACAATGGATTTTGACCACAGGGTGTGACGAGCGGGGTTTCTAGTCCCGAAAACACAGTCCATTGTAATTCATTACAATAGAAATTGATTTTTTTTAAATAGCATGAACATAAGCAATTACTAATAGTGTTCACTACAAGTTGTTTCAAGATATTAAAAAGCACATTTTAGGAAATTCCAATAGCGAAAAAAATATTAAGCATCTATTTTGAATTCAAAAAATCCTTCAAGGGAAAATAATTTGATTGATAGCGTTGAAAAACTAAATAAAATTGTTCGCGATTTGCGAGAAAAAAAAATTCTGACTCCGACAAAAAACCACCCCCCCCCCCCCCCCCCCCCCTTTTGAAGTTAAAATGGTTGCTCCCTAAATACTCCTTTGCTTGAAGGTAAAATTTTTGATCCCAGTCATATGTCTATTCTAAAGCATTGATCTTAAAAAAACAGGGATTCTAACTCCCGGACCCCCCTGGATCCCGGTCGTCGGGTTTCTAATCCAGACACACCTATCCATCCCTCTGTGTGTCCGAATATGAATGTTTGTTTATTCTCGAGAATGGGGGGTGCTTCTTTTTTTTTATAAAACCGTAACATAAAAAATCATTTATGATTACCTTCATTGTCACTGTGCTTAAACGGCTGTGGGTAACTTAAGTTACCCACAGCCCAAGATGGCGGTCTCTAAACTCGTTGATATATAATTGATACAAAATCTACTTTTTGCGACGTTTTTCATGCACTATGTAATTATTTATAGGATTCTTGAATAAAGAAATCACTTACCATTACCATAAATTTGTTAATTTTGAGTTCATTTTAGCGCAAGGCCAACTTTAAAAAAATGCATAAGATGTCCGTAACTTTATGGTCAAAACTAATCAGACTGTCCGTAACTTTATTTTCGAATGTGGGTAACTTTTGTTTTCAAAATTGTAAGATTGATAATTTCAACAATTAAAGGACAACATAAACACTATCAAATCCCGTATTTATTACCTAGTTTTATACTTTTACGATATGCGTCAAAATAACCAAGAGAAAAGAGAACATAGCTGTAAAAAATCAGACCCGAGTTTTACGGATTTACCGTTGTTTTTTTCAATTTATTCCCGATTTTCGGATAATATGTTGATAGATTAATCCAGTAAACCTGGTTAGCAGCATCCAAAGTATACTTTGCAGAGTGTTTACATAAAACAAGATCTGATGGTACGGCGAAATTTATCTTCTGGCTTTATAGATTGTTCACTGTTTGAGTCCTTGGCCCTTTAGCCGCGGGCAAATTTGATACCTTTTCTTTTAAATAATTTCCGAATTGTTAGCCAAAAAAGTATGGTCTCCACTATACCTAGTGTTATGAAAAAAAAATGCCTACATCTTAAAGTAAATGGAAGGCTACGTTGTCGAACAGGTGTCAGTTTATAACAGCAATTAAGGTAGATTTAAAATCTTCTAAACGTTTCATTGACCTCAGGAATTCAATAAAACTTGCTATCAAAGCGTAAGTATCTTCTTCAGGGGTCTGGACAGCTCCGTCTATGTATTTCCGCTCAGGATTGACATCTGAACTTGTTCTCTTAAAGGTGATTTTCGTATGTTCACTTTTAATGTATGGTTTAAAGCCTTGAGTAATTTGATCTGAACTTTGTGATATCTCCAGTGGGAAGTGGTGAGATTTATAGACAGGTTTTTCCGATTATCTGCCTTAGTTTGTGACGCGACTCTTAGGCGTCGTCGCAGTACGATCGCCATACACCTTATCGCTAATCCCGCTTGACCCGAGAATCAGTCCCGCTCGAACTTTTGACGTCATACAACAATCACTTTTCCATTGTGGCGTCAGATATTTTCTTTTATGACGTCAAAATTTTACGGGAACTTGTGTGATGTCCAGTAATGGCGGACAAATAGCGATAAGGTGTATTACAACCGTGAAAAAATATAAACAAGATATAGATCTATATGCCCTGACCGCATATAATTAAATGTAAACACAAGAATGTGAAGTCGTACTTGACCTCGGCAAAATTATATGTGCTATAAATAATAAAGTAACTAGATAAGGATTCTAAGTGTATTGCACATGTATAGTCCCAGATTTGAACAGCTACAATCTTCTTCTAAATTGAAAGTGAAAGTAAAATCGAATGTAATCGTATCTACTCGGCTATTCTCGCCAAGTCTTATTATTGGCGTAACGGGAATGACCGAGTAGGTACGGTTGGGCTAGAAATTGCGATACATGTATCTTTAATATCCGACAAGAGTGGGAGGCAGATAAAGTGAAAGTATAGATTAGAAGAAAACAGGGGCAGTCGACTGACATTTTCCATTCTTGAATAGTATTTGGTAATTTGAAATAACAACGTTGTTATTAGTAAATTAACGGAAATATGGACTCAGTAAGACAGTAACTGAAACAGGAACTAAAAAAGAGAGAGAGGGGTGACAATTACGTATATGTTCCCCCCAACAGAAGTTCCACTGGAAACTTTGCTATAAACAATGTCATAATATCTGCTCATGTTAGAACAAATATTCTATACCATTTATTCCGTAAGGAACATATACTGTAATATTTATTCCAGTGGAAATAATATTCATGATATTCCAGAATATTTTTTCCATTTGATACTAAATATTATGAAGGAACTTCTATTTTGTGACACTGGGGGACTTAATACCAAAGGCGAAGCAATTATAAGTCAAACTTTAAAAGCAAAAAATACTGAGTAACACAAACCTTAGGTGCAGAACTGTAGCTCTTTGTTAAAATATATTTAGTCCTTGTGATATTTTTTGACAGTTACTGAGTTACTGAAAGCTAATTAGAAGTATTATAAATAAATTGTGTTTCACAGCTAGGCCAAATTAAATTCCAGGTAACATTTACTGTAAATGTTTACAAAGTACATTGTTAATTAAATGAGTACGGTTTGGCAAACAGCAATTTGACAATCAGATCATTTAATATTTTTAAGGAATAATTTTGTGGCTAAATATATGAAAATGTCACGGAACCTGAGTGTGATGACTAATTTGTGTAAATGTTGTTTTGTTTGTTTAATAAGCATTATAAATGTTGTACTGTACATTTAAAAGGAATTAAAACTTTAATTAAGAATTGAAGGCTTCTTTTTGTTGTTTTATTGGATATTACTAAAAAAAAACTTCCAATTTTTATAACTACAATTTTAATGCTATAATAACGAAATTACAAGTTGAATTTTTAAGCTTTTAGTTTGTTTTCCTATGCATTGTTGTAATGGAGTCAAGAAGAACACATGCATAGTCATATAAATGTTTCATTTTATTGGAAAATAAAACATATTTTTGTCTGCCAATTGAAATTGAAGGATCTGAACTTTTGCAAAATATTTAATATGAACCATGTTGATTTTATTTAATAACAGACATGGCAGACAAAAGAGATCTTTTTCCAGAGATAGAACCTTATGACACAGGGGTGTTAAAGGTATCAGACTTACATTCCATCTATTATGAACAGAGTGGTAACAAGAATGGAAACCCAGTTGTTTTCATGTGAGTTATCTATATACGTATGTCCTCATGCATATGTATGAGATATTTTCTTTTTGTATCCAACGCTGCTAGTAAGTTATAATTTCCCCCTTGTGTTTTATGACTTCTCATTCATCAAATTGTGTACAAGAAGATTAAGTTCGAAATATGAGAAAGACCCAAAAGGATGGTTTTTATACGACAGTAGTATATTGGTATCACGTCGTCATCGTCGTCCGAAGACATTTGATTTCAAGACAATAACTTTAGTATTAGTAAATAGAAATCGAAGAAATTTAAACATAAGGTTAATAACCACAAAAGGAAGGTTGGGATTGATTTTGGGGGTTATGGTCCCAACAGTTTAGGAATTGGGGCCAAAAAGGGGCCCAAATAAGCTTTTTTCTAGTATCATGACAATAACTTGTGGAACAGTGTATGGATCTCTCTGAAATTATACCACAAGTTTCCATACCACAAAGGGATGGTTAGGATTGACTTTGGAGGGTTATGGCTCAAACCGTTTAGGAATGAGGGCCAAAAAAGTGAGAAAAACAAGGGTGTCCTGGTTAATGGACAATTACTTAAGTATGTAAGGGAGGTAATTCAAACACTATTTTTAATTACCTCCCTTAAACTGCTTTTAAATTATTTATAAAGAATTTTTGTATTGTCTTGAGGTGATTAGCTGTCAATTCATTTTTAGAAGTTACTATTTTAATAATTTTAAAAATGCTGATTAAGGTAAATTAATTTTAGCTATGATATATGTATGTCATTTTCTATTTTAAGACTTTTATGATGTATTTAAATGAGTTATTATGGTTGCAAACTCCATTGGAAATTTGAATTGAAATTATGACCATGACTGAGGGAAAGATTTTTTTTGGGGAAAAAGGGGGGAGGGGGGGTTAAAAAAAAATTGGGGAGGGGGTAAAAAAAATTGGTGGGGGGATGGGGGATGACAATTTTTTCTCCTCAAGATTTCAGAAATCAAAAATCCTTTAAATTATTTTTTGTTTTTGAAAAAAAGGGGGGAGGTCAATTCCCAACAGCATAGTGTATTGCACAAAAGCAAAAAATTGAATATAAATTCAGTTATTCTGTGTCAGAAACCTATTATGTGTCAAATATTGAATTACAATCCAAATTCAGACCTGTATCAAGCGCGAATATTGTGTCCATGTTTGCCCCAACTCTTCAGGGTTGGACCTCTGCGGTCGTATCCAGCTGCACTCGGCGAAGCAATTTATTAGTTTTTAAGGCAATGACAAGATATTTGATATGCTTAACATGCTTTAGGGAGCATATTTTGTTTTAATGCTGTTCAATAAGAAATGATTTCTATAAATAAACAAAACATTGGAATGCTGGTCAGTCTTCCACAAATATTTGCTAAAAGAGACAGCTCTCATGCAATCAATTAAGAATACTTTTATAAATTGTGACTTGGATGGAGAGTTGTCTCATTGGCACTCATACCACATCTTCTTATATCTATATAATAATATTAATAAACTGGCTTAAAAGAAGAAAGTAAGAGAAGAAGAACACATAATATATGTCTCAAGAATAAATATGCATTAACTGTAGAAATATATAAGTTAAAACACCTCAAACACTAACAAACCATTTAAATCTTGCACACATGGCTGGAGACTTACTCTGTATGTATAATGGAACATAAAGGATATCATGCATTAATTCATGACACAAAATCTCTGAAGTACTTAGAAAAACCAATATCAAAAAGACACAAAATGAATATTGCTTATTTTCATCTCAAAGTTAAAAAGACTAAGGCATCCAACACTGCAAGTTTAATATAACCCTTATTAGCACCAGTTTCATCAGATGGTTTTGCTATATGTTGATGATGTTTATTGAAAAACACAGCTGTTGGATACTAATAGAGGGTTGTAATTGGGGTACCTTCATGACTAATAACGGTAAAAAATCTTGCCAAATGACGTTAACGGTAATTTTTGGTACATGATGATGAAATGTACACATTCTTTTAGACAATAAAAAAATCGACTGATTTTGACGAATCAGGTTAAATTTTTTTCAAAAATGATGGTAACGATAAATATTTGAGACCTCTGATGAATCACGATAAGGATATTTTGACGAATCACGGTAAAATTTTAACCAATTTGATGCTAACGGTAGCCTAAAATGACAGTTTGATGCCTGACGGTAAAGGGCAATTCCAACCCTCTTATTAGCACCAGTTTCATCAGATGTTTTTGTTAAATGTTGATGATGTTTATTGAAAAACACGGCTGTGGGCTACTATCAATAGATTATATCTTCATATTAGTCAAACATAATCACGCAGGCATTTAAGGGTTTCAAAATAACAAGGTTTTTAAAAGACTGTTATAGATTGATAGGATATGAATAAGGGAACTTAAAAATTAGAAGAAAATGATAGGTCTGTGTTCTAGTTTTTGAGATATAATCAATTGAAAATTTGGCGGGAAATGGTTCTCTCTAGATTTTTCAAATATTTAACATTGACACCTTTTTCCTTTCAAAAATAATAAAAAAAATAACAACGATTTTATAAAATTTTCAAAAATGACTTTGAAAACTAAATGCAATAGAATTATGAAAAGAAAAGTAGGTGTCAGTGGGCAAAATTTTTATTGGCACTACATGGATAAAACTAGAAGATTCCGAATATTTGACAAAAAGTCAAAAACAAGAGTCGAGAACATCCTTAATCAATGAAGTAGGGGAGAGATTTGTTTCCATCAGGTAAATTCACTATTGACTTTAACATTAATATTTTTCAGTCATGGTGGTCCTGGTGGGGGTACAAGTCCTAGAGACAGACGATTTTTTGATCCAGAAGCTTACAGAATAATCCTGTTTGATCAGAGAGGAGCAGGAAAGTCTCTTCCAGCATATGAACTTAGGGTTAGAAAGTTTGTATATATATACAACATTCTACACTGGCATGTAGGACAAAAAATCATCAAAATTGAAGTTTTTTGCACTTTCAGACTCATACCACAGCAAACACACATATAAAGATTGTATAAGTAAATACTAGTTACTTTGTGCACAAAATGTCATTTTTGCCATATCTATTTACATGAGTAATACCCTTTAATTTATATTTATCTGCTACATATGGTAATGAAGATTCATATTTAAAAGAGTAATTAATTTTGTAAAGACAACTAATTTTTAAAATAAGAAGATATGGTATGATTGCAAATTAGACAACTCTCCACTAACCCGAATAATTCAGTCGTTATATTCCACTGCTCTACGATGGCTACATTAACGCCTGAAGGCCTTGTCAATAAAAAATCGTCAAATAATCATTTGGAATTAGCTCGGTATTTACCTATCTCGATAACATTGAGCTATTACTGATTGGCTCTCTCTCAAAGAAAGCACCAATCAAAATCTTGGATTCGTGACACGTTTTTATTGTATAAAGAATTCAGGCCCTAGCGAGTGAGAGTGTCGATCACTGGGAGGGACTGAATTATTCAGGTTAACTCTCCACCAGATACCAAATGAAATAGAGGTTAACAACTTTAGATCACCATGCATACAGACTTCAACAATGATCAAAACCCATAACGCAAAAGTAATTAACTTTATTATAAAAGGCCTTAAAATGACAAATGCAAAACAATTCAATTAAGAAAACTAACGACGTGATTTCAGTACAAAACAAACGAAAAACAAATATATACAGCAACAAATGACAACCACTGAATAACATGCTCCTGACTTGGGACAGGCACATACAGAATGTGGTGGGGTTAAACATTTTGCTGGCGCCAAACCGAGTATCTATTTGGGTTGCTCACTCAATTTTGACAACATAAAGGTACTATAAATCTCTCATGCAAGTTGGAGGTTTAGCTGACTATAAAACCAGGTTTAATCCACCTTTTTCTTCATAAAATGCCTGTTCAAATTCAGGAATATGACAGTTGATTTCCATTTGTTCCGTTGGTTGATATAGCCAGGTTTTATGGACTCCCACTCCTTTTTGAAGTTACTTTGGAATGCTTTTTTTCCCAATGGTATATTTTTTGCCTATCTTTGCCGAAGAATAGGATCTTATGAAGTTCAAGTCATTTGATATTTCCTTTTTATATATCTTCGGCTTTAAGTTTTTTAATTAATGAAGGTAAATTAAGTAAAGCTCTTTGGACGCACTAAATTTTTAGAATGTAATTTCAAACTTATTTATAACAATAAAGTTTATATAATTACAGGAAAATACAACATGGGATCTGGTGGATGACATTGAAAAACTAAGACAACATCTAAAAATAGATAAATGGGTTGTGTTTGGAGGAAGTTGGGGATCTACGTTAGGACTAGCATACTCCGAGACACACCCTGATAAAGTGAAAGCTGTTATTTTAAGAGGGATTTTTACTTGTCGCAGGTATTTTATATATTATACGCAAGAAAACCATAATAGAGTTTTAGGACTTTCAAAATTGTGCAAAACAAAATAAAGCCTAATTGAGCAAAATAGTTCTTCCTGCTAAAAGAAATTTCTCCTTTTATATAGTGATATGACATTATAAAAATAGCACATAGTTGAGAGGGCAATGGAGCTGATTGTTGCCCGTAAAAAACATTGTCAACTGAGGCGAAGCCATTATTGTCTTTTAATTGTAAATAGAAAGCAATTGACTATATATGAAAGTGCTACAGACCTACAGTTATTAGAAAAACAACAAAAGTGAAGCAAGATATATTTTTTTTATGTTGGCAGTCTATGAAAAATGTGTGAGGCTGTAACATGGAAGTTGATCGTTGTCTTTAAAATTATTGATGCAAAATCAATTTATTTTCCTATAAATTATCATTTTTTGATTGGTCTGCACCAGATTGTGTCATTCATAAAATTGTCTCCCGCTGAGCCATAGAATAGAGTAAATTGTCTCCCTCGTATTAACCAATCAAAATCTGGCATTTTAACATAAAGTATAATCAAATTATATAACCCTTCCCTTTTTGCTTATATAAAAATATTGTAAGAAAAACATGATATCATATTGTAAAGTGTTGTACAGAATATAAAAAACAAAAACAGACAATTTAGCTAAGATTCTAAGTTTATTGGTTGCCAGTTAAAATTACGTAATACTTTGGAAGAAAGAGTTTAAGAATAGATCATTTATAACGATTTTATTTGATAATAGACAACAGTGTATTGTCATTTGCACAATATTGTGTTTGAATTCAAACCATTCAGAAATGAAGGGTGTATTTTGTGGATCCCTATTCAGACAAAATGTATCATGAATTATGGTGTAAATCACAACTGTTCAGACACCTGACTTAAGTACTGTTAATTCAGAAATTAATGCATGTATTAATTAATAATTGCAAATTCTTGACCACTTCAAAAATGCAAAATCTTATTTATGCATAAAACACATTAATGCAAACCCTAAAAATTAGTTGAAAAAGGCTCTACACAAAGCATGCAAAGCACAACTTACAAAAAGACGTAAAGACATAAAGTACCAATTTGAGAGTACTCACAGTTACTGAAAGTTTGTTCAAAGCCAATTACAACTAATAAAAAATTATGTGTCCAAGGTTAAGATATCAATCAGAACACATCAACATGGATCTAGTGTAAAGATATAAACAGCCAAGAGAAAAACATTATCTAGTGTAATGCAAAAGTATAAATTTCAACAGAATGTAGGACTGTAAATGTAATGATCATATGGCTTTTTTGAGGCTTTTTAAGGAATGTGGAATGTAACTTGAGGCTTTTATTCAGTCACAATTGAATGTATTATTAGTTCCGGATGTATTGGCCTTTTAAAGTAAAAGTTTGATTGAATAACATGGGACCCTATGGGAAATACATACAAACGTCTTCTTTTAGAGAACCACTGAATGGAATGAAACCAAACATGGCATGAATGTTCCTTATGAGGTGCTGACCAAGTGTTGTTACTTTGTAGCGGATCCATCATCCAAGATGGCCGCCAGCGGGGGACTTAGTTTAGCATAGGACCCTATGGGAAATACATACAAATGTCTTCTTTTAGAGAACCACTGAATGTAATGAAACCAAACATGGCATGAATGTTTCTTATGAGGTGCTGACCGAGTGTTGTTACTTTGAAGCCGATCCATAATCCAAGATGGCCGCCAGCAGGGGACTTAGTTTAACATGGGACCCTATGGGAAATACATACAAACGTCTTCTTTTAGAGAACCACTGAATGGAATGAAACCAAACATGGCAAGAATGTTCCTTATGAGGTGCTGACCAAGTGTTGTTACTTTGAAGCTGATCCATCATCCAAGATGGCCGCCAGTAGGGGACTTAGTTTAACATTGGACCCTATGGGAAATACATACAAATGTCTTCTTTTAGAGAACCACTGAATGGAATGAAACCAAACATGGCATGAATGTTCCTTATGAGGTGCTGACCGAGTGTTGTTACTTTGAAGCCTATCCATAATCCAAGATGGCCACAAGCGGGTGACTTAGTTTAACATGGGACCCTATGGGAAATACATACAAACGTCTTCTTTTAGAGAACCACTGAATGGAATGAAACCAAACATGGCAAGAATGTTCCTTATGAGGTGCTGACCAAGTGTTGTTACTTTGAAGCTGATCCATAATCCAAGATGGCCGCCAGCAGGGGACTTAGTTTAACATGGGACCCTATGGGAAATACATACAAATGTCTTCTTTTAGAGAACCACTGAATGGAATGAAACCAAACATGGCATGAATGTTCCTTATGAGGTGCTGTCTAAGTGTTGGTACTATTAAGCTGATCCATAATCCAAGATGGCCGCCAGTAGGGGACTTGGTTTAACATTGGACCCTATGGGAAATACATACAAATGTCTTCTTTTAGAGAACCACTGAATGGAATGAAACCAAACATGGCATGAATGTTCCTTATGAGGTGCTGACTGAGTGTTGTTACTTTGAAGCCGATCCATAATCCAAGATGGCCGCAAGCGGGTGACTTAGTTTAACATGGGACCCTATGGGAAATACATACAAACGTCTTCTTTTAGAGAACCACTGAATGGAATGAAACCAAACATGGCAAGAATGTTCCTTATGAGGTGCTGACCAAGTGTTGTTACTTTGAAGCTGATCCATCATCCAAGATGGCAGCCAGCGGGGGACTTTGTTTAACATAGGACCTTATGGGAAATACATACAAATGTCTTCTTTTAGAGAACCACTGAATGCAATGAAACCAAACATGGCATGAATGTTCCTTATGAGGTGTTGACCAAGTGTTGTTACTATGAAGCCGATCCATAATCTAAGATGGACGCCAGCGGAGGACTTAGTTTAACATAGGACCCTATGAGAAATACGTACAAATGTTTTCTTTTAGAGAACCATTGAATGGAATGAAACCAAACATGGCATGCATGTTCCTTTTGAGGTGCTGACCAAGTGTTGTTACTTTGAAGCTGATCCTTCATCCATGATGGCTGCCGGATGGGGACAATGTTTAACAAAGGACCCTATGGACAATACATACACATGTCTTCTTTTAGAGAACCACATACTGAATGGATTGAAACCAAACATGGCATGAATGTTCCTTATGAGGTGCTGACTAAGTTTTGTTACTTTGAAGCTGATCCTTCATCCATGATGGTAGCCAATGGGGGGACTTCCTTTAACATAAGACCCTATGGGAAATACACACAAATGCTTCTTCTAGAGGTGCACTGAATGGAATGAAACCAAAACATGGCATAAATGTTTCTTATGAGGTGCTGATTAAGTGTTGCTACTTTGTTGCAGATTTACTGTTCAAGATGGCCACCAGGATTTTTTATTAAATTACAGGACCAATATTAAACCACTCATTATTAGGGTATCTGTTATGATTTTAATCTATTTTTACATTATTTCCAAAACCAAAGTAGAATCAGGTGAGCGACACAGGCTCTTGAGAGCCTCTAGTTTTAAATTAGATTCAATAAATGTCGAAGTCCTTATGCATATATTTTGTAATTTTTGTCGAGCCTGCGACTTTTGTCGCAGAAAGCTAGACATAAGGATAGTGATCCGGCGGCGGGGTTTACTAACTTTTTAAAAGCTTAATATTTCAGAAGGTAGAAGAATTGGATGCTTCATACTTTGTATATAGATGCCTTATGATATGAAGTTTCCGTCTGTCATATGTCCATTGTCCTTGGGTCTCATTTTCATGGTTCAGTGACTATTTGAAAAAAAAGTTAAGATTTTTTGTAATGTTAATTTCTCTCTTATTATGAGTAATAGGATAACTATATTGGGTATGTGCAAGGTCCTCATGCCTGTCAGACAGTTTTCACTTGACCTCGACCTCATTTCATGGATCAGTGAACAAGGTTAAGTTTTGGTGGTCAAGTCCATATCTCAGATACTATAAGCAATAGGTCTACTATATTTGGTGTATGTAATGATTGTAAGGTGTACATGTCCAACTGGCAGGTGTCATCTGACCTTGACCTCTTTTTCATGGTTCAGTAATCATAGTTTAGTTTTTGTGTTTAGGTCTGTTTGTTTTTCTAATACTGTATGCAAAAGGTCAACTATATTTGGTGTATGGAAATATTTTATGATGTACAAGTCAGTCTGGCAGGTTTTATTTGACCTTGACCTCATTTTCACGGTTCAGTGGTCATAGTTTAGTTTTTGTGTTTTGGTCAGTTTTTCTAATACTGTATGCAATAGGTCAACTATATTTGGTGTATGGAAATATTTTAGGTTGTACATGTCAGTCTGGCAGGTTTTATATGACCTTGACCTCATTTTCACGGTTCATTGCTCAATGTTAAGTTTTTGTGTTTTGGTCTGTTTTTCTTAAACTTTAAAACAATATTTCAACTATATTTGGTGTATGGAATGATTGTAAGGTGTATATGTCTGTCTGGCAGGTATCATCTGACCTTCACCTCATTTTCATGGTTGATTGGTCAATGTTCAGTTTTCCTGGTTAACTTTGTTTCTTAGATACTTTAAGCAATAGAGCAACTATATTTGATGCATGGAATGATTTTAAGGTGTACATGTCTGTCTGGCAGGGTTCATCTGACCTTGACTTTATTTTCATGGTTCATTGGTTAGTATAAAATTTCCATGGTTTGTAGATATAAGAAGATGTGGTATGAGTGCCAATAAGACAACTTTCCATCCAAGTCACAATTTATAAAAGTAAACCATTATAGGTCAAAGTACGGTCTTCAACACGGAGCCTTGGCTCACACCGCACAGCAAGCTATAAAGGGCCCCAAAAATTACTAGTGTAAAACCATTCAAACGGGAAAACCAACGGTCTAATCTATATAAAAAACAAGAAATGAGCAACACTTATGAACCACATCAACTTCTGAACATCAGATTCCTGACTTAGGACAGGTGCAAACAATTGGTCTGTTTCTTTTATACTATAAGCAATAGGTCATCTATATTCTGTGTATGGAATGATTGTATTAAAGGTGTACATGTATTTCCGGCTTGGTTTATCTTACCTTGACCTCATTTTCTTGGATCATAAAAGTTAATGTGATACTTGTAGTAAAACTTTATATGCAGGACTATCAACATAAAATCAATGGTCAGTATAGTAGGCAAGACATTTCAGCGTGTGCACTCTTGTTTTTTTTGGATGATTTCGTCATTCTTAATAATATCTAAAACAGACCCAGCTTGTTCAAAATATAACTGTTCCGGACCCTTTGAGTATTTGGACCATATGTGTATGGTCATAACCATATGAATATATACACATATGGTCAGACCATAAGCGTATACTCCGGATAAATAATATGATGAACGTTGAAAAGATTCGTTTATTGTAATTTGCATAAGGTATGAAATCAGGCATTTTTAAAAAATTAAATTTTTACTCATTCAATCATAGGGTAATGATTGTTACTTTGTTACAAGAACAAAACTGACTTTTAGTCATTAGTTAAAACTACTTAGGATTATAGTAATAGCATTATACAAATTTCATGACCGATTTTTCCTTACGCAACACAATCTGTCGGCTTTAGAAAATAACTTCAAAAAGTCTACATGAACAGTTAAACAAAAAAGTTAATTGTTTTAATAACAGGCACTTTGGGCATTGAATACTCCTTTTTTCCCTGTTTTTTTACTTAAAGTTATTTTTGATAAATTAAATATTCAGTCAAATTAGTTTTAGTTATTGAATGTGCTGTTGTTCATATTCATACGATCTTGCATTTATTTAACTCTAGTTTAGACATGATGACCTGTCCCTCTATTTTTATATGCAAAAATAAGTAAACATTAGAAAACTATTTTTCTTTCAGACTGATCTAAACACCAAAGGTAAACACGAAAAAAAAGGCCATGCCCCAAATATCTGTGGTTTCACATATTAACGAAATATTTCACAGGATAAAGGCGCTTTTAGTTGATTGTAGCAAAGGCAGGATGACAGATGAACAAAGATTCAGACAATATGTAAAAGATAAAGGATTTCAGTCAGTAAACTTGTGCCAATTTTGGCTCAGAGACGAGTGATACCATATAGCGGGTCGTTTTTGCGGGTGTAAAATATCGCGCTTTAGGGGCAACAAAGTATAATCCCAATTAAATATTTTGGCGGATACTGAAATGGTTGCAGTTAAAAAGTTGTAAAAATTGACAATGTTATGGTTAAATGATTGTTTTACCTGCATGAGGTCTTATTTATTGATTATATTTTGATACAGTTAATTAAAAGAATATTGGTACCGGTACTTAGAAATTGGTCACAGGTGTACAAACCTCTGGTAAATATTTAATGTTACGGTTGATTAGTTACGAAATTGACTGGAGCTTTGATGTACTAATTAGATCATGAAATTATCATGAGTGACTTGCAACTTTTATATAATTTGACACTAGTTAATAAGGATAAAATACATGACAGAGTACCTTACACTCTTATATTATCAATTATTTTATTATGTAACCAATTAACTAATTAACACCTGACAGCAAGTGAACAATGGCCTTTTGCATTTATGTTGGTTAAATTAACATAAACCATTATTGATCCTATGAACGGGAAAAATAGTTTTCAAAATGCTTAAGCTATTAAAAAGAACCGAACGTATTGCATAAATTTTCGCGGAATTTAATTTCCCCTTACCCGCCGAAATAAGCGAAAATAAACACCCTGCACAATAACCCGCTTATATATAATACGGTATGTTCCTGAGAAGAAAATTAGAATTTATTTGAAAAATTCCTATCTGGTCTAAATACTCATATGGTCCCCTGTTATCAAACAGGCCAATGGTTTTCTTGTTTGAATTACATGTATTTTTTATTTTGTTGTGTTAGGGCCTTTTTTAGCCCGACTTATAGTTGCTTAAATCATTTGGATTATGGCTGAATGTTGTCTCATTGGCAATCATACAACATCTACTTTTTAGAAAACTGATATATAAAACAAACGTATGAATCATTTGACTCAAGACAAATGTGTGGTGGGTACTTTGTGCATTTAGTTTTTGTCGAGCCTGCGACTTTTGTCGCAGAAAGCTCGACATAGGGATAGCGATCCGGCGGCGGCGGTGGCGGCGTTAGCTAACTTCTTAAAAGCTTTATATTTTAGAAGATGGAAGACCTGGATGCTTCATACTTTGTATATGGATGCCTCATGTTACGAAGTTTCCGTCAGTCACATGTCCAATGTCCTTGACCTCATTTTCATGGTTCAGTGACTACTTGAAAAAAAAGTTCAGATTTTTTGTAATGTTAAATTCTCTCTTATTATAAGTAATAGGATAACTATATTTGGTATGTGCGTACCTTGCAAGGTCCTCATGCCCGTCAGACAGTTTTCACTTGACCTCGACCTCATTTCATGGATCAGTGAACAAGGTTAAGTTTTCGTGGTCAAGTCCATATCTCAGATACTATAAGCAATAGGTCTAGTATATTCGGTGTATGGAAGGACTGTAAGGTGTACATGTCCAACTGGCAGGTGTCATCTGACCTTGACCTCATTTTCATGGTTCAGTGGTTATAGTTAAGTTTTTGTGTTTTGGTCTGTTTTTCTTATACTGTATGCAATAGGTCTACTATATTTGGTGTATGGAATGATTGTAAGGTGTACATGTCTAGCTGGCAGGTGTCATCTGACCTTGACCTCATTTTCATGGTTCAGTGGTCAAAGTTAAGTTTTTGAGTTTTGGTCTTTCTTTCTAATACTGCATGCAATAGGTCAGCTATATTTGGTGTATGGAATGATTGTAAGGTGTACATGTCTAGCTGGCAGGTGTCATCTGACCTTGACCTCATTTTCATGGTTCAGTGGTCAAAGTTAAGTTTTTGAGTTTTGGTCTTTTTTTCTAATACTATATGCAATAGTTCAACTATATTTGGTGTATGAAAATATTTTATGATCTATATGTCAGTTACGCAGGTTTTATTTGACCGTGACCTCATTTTCAAGGTTCATTGCTCAGTGTTAAGTTTTTGTGTTTTCGTCTGTTTTTCTTAAACTATAAGCAATAGGTCAACTATATTTGTTGTATGGAAGAATTGTTAGCTGTACATGCCTGCCTAGCATGGTTCATCTGACCTTGACCTCATTTTCATGGTTCATTGGTCAATGTTTAGTTTACTTGGTTAATGTTAAGTTTATGTGACAGTCGTAATAAAGCTTTATATTTAGGACTATCAACATAATATCAATGATTAGTAAAGAAGGCGAGACATTTCAGCGTGTGCACTCTTGTTATCTAATATGACAAATGTTTCTATTTAAATTATCTTTATTAAAGGAGAGAACTACTATGGTTCTACCAGGATGGATGCAGTTTAATATATCCGGACAAATTTGAAGCCTACAAAGACCATATTCCTGAGGTTTGTATGAAAGATATTACGGAAAACATAGCATTATATATCTATATGGAGTTATTTGCTTTCAGATCAATAGGTCTTTTGTTTGTAGAAACAACTTGACATGCTGAAATTCCAATTTTCAATGAAATGTGCTCAAGGCATAAAATAATAATCTGTTTGAGGTCATTATTACACAAGTTAAAATGCTAACTACAGTTTGTTAAAATATTTAATTCATTTGATATTACATATAGGAAACCATGTGTTGTGGCCAATTAGGGCTTCAGTGTTCAATTTTTGCGCTTCAACATTTTTAGCTCACCTGGCACAAAGGGCCAAGTGACATTTTCTCATCACTTGTCATCCCTAGTCCATTGTCGTCTGTTTACTTCACAAAAATCTTGTGGCGGATCCAGAAATTTTCATAAGGGAGGGCCCACTGACTGCATAAGAGGAGGCCCACTCAATAGAAAAATATGACTGGTGCAATAATGTTCAGAATATTGAGCTCTATCTACATTTGATTTACGTCAAAACTGTCAGACGACTTTTTATACAAGTTATTGCCCTTAAATGGCAAATTTTATCATTTTTAAACATTTTTGCCTATTATCTCTACAATTATAATCAAAGGATAGAAACTTTAAATAGCACAAATGATTAGCAATACAAGATATACAAATAAGTCAACATGACTAAAATTTGTCAGACCACATCTTATGAGAGTTATTTCCCTTTAATGACAATTTTTACCAATTTTTATGCCCACCCCAAAGTGGAGGGGGCATTAAGTTTTACACTTGTCTGTCTGTCTGTACATACATAGGTACGTCCGTACATCCCAAAAATGGTTTCCATTCTCTAACTTTAGTTTGCCTCAACCAAATGATATCAAACTTATACACAATGCTTATTACCACAAAACACAGATCAAGTTTGAATTTTGGTAGTGTCACTTTTTCCGTTCTAGAGTTATGCCCCTTTACAAATGGAAAAATTGCTGAATTTTTCATTTTTTTTCTACTATTGGAGTTATCTTCCTTTGTCCATGATTATAGTTGAATCAACTACAATCAATGCTTTATACAATGCAATGTTTAATTTTGCCTTCCACTGATAAAACACAGATCAAGTTGAATTTTGGTAGTGTCACTTTAACCATTATTGAGTTATGCCCCTTTATAAATTGAAAAATGGAAAAAATTTTAGTTTCCGTTCTGTAACTTAAGTTTGCCCCAACCAAACATGAAACCTATACACAATACTTATTACCACAAAACTAAGATGAAGTACAGATTTGGGTAAGGTCACTTTTATTGTGCTTTAGTTATGTCCCTTTGTAATGTTGTATGCAAGTGGGGGCACCATCTGTGTCCAACGGGACACATTCTTCATTTTTTGTGTTATTGCCTTATATCTTAAAAACTATAGAAGATAGATAGAATCTTTTAAAAAGCAAAAATTATTAGACCAACAAAATCTACAAATAAGAATCCTTATTAGAATTATTACCCTTTAATCAGGATTTTTTACTAAATTTATTTTGCGTTTTGGCCAATATCTTAAAATCTTTAATAGATAGATAGAAATTTTAAAAGTGAAAAATGATCAGCAAGGCAAGATCTACAAATAAGCCATTATGGCCAAAATCTTCTGGTGACTCCTTATTGGAATTATTGCTAATGATTATTTTTAACATTTTTTTGCATCTTTACCCCTGCTAACTTGAAAATTTTAATAGATAAATAGAAACTTATAAAGGAAAAATGATCAGCAAGGCAAGATCTACAACTAAGCCAATATGACCGAAATGATTAGTCAACTATTATTGAAGTTATTGCCCTATAATGACGATTTTTCCCATTTTTGCCTACTATCTTGAAAACTGTAATAGATAGATAAAAACTTTGAATAGCACAAATGATCAGCAAGACAAGATTTACAAATAAGCCATAATGGTCAAAATCTTCAGTTGACTCCTTATTTGAGTTATTGCTAATAATGATTTTTAACATTGTTTTGCATTTTTTCCGTATTATATTGAAAACTATGATAGATAAATAGAAACTTTAAAATTGAGATGAAACTAATAATGCAACACTTTTAGGTGTCAGACCACCAATTCAAAATCCCTATCTATTCAACCAAATTTTGCAAATTTCACAGCTTTCTAAATTATATATATATATTAGAAAACTAAATATCGTAAATAAAATCTTTTTGATTTACACAGTATTGGAAATTGTGCTATGACCTATGAATGTCTGCATGTTTCCATGTTACATGTACACCAAGATTTTTTGGTTCCTTTATGCCATTTCATGATTTTTTTTTTGAAGTGATATATACCTTTCACACTATCCTATAACCAAAATATTTTCATTTTCTATAGGTGAACAGCCACATAATTGATTGATTGGGAGGCTATAATATTCTGTTCCAATTATCATTTTTTGAAGAAAAATTGTATTGCCAGATAAAGTAGAGAAAACAATTATTCTGAATAAATTCATTTACAATTGTTGAAAAATAATAACCAGAGAAAAAAACATGGAACTCCTCTATTATAAAGTGATAATAGATAATTACTAGATAAAGTGACTTTTCATACACTGTAAAATTCATTTGTTTCTTGCTTCTTGATCTTCAAATGCAAATACAGAAACATTTTTGATGTAACTGGACAGTGATTACTAAAGACCACTCCAACAAAAAAGCCATACATGATTTGTCAAGCAGATGAGACATTTCAGCATCTGCACTCTTGTTTGAACTATATTTGGTATATATAATCATTAATATTGCAAGGTACCCATGCCCATGAGACAGTATTTACCTGACCTTAGACTCATTTCATAGGTCAGTGATCAAACTTTGGTAAATTGGTCAGTGATAACTGCTAGAAGTCTTCCTGGTTAGATTCTTTTTTCAGATACTATAAGTAATTGGTCAACTGATCAGTCCGACATGGTTCATTAATTATATTTGATGTACAAAGAATGATTATGAAAGAGAAGCAAAAGATACAGGGGGAACATTCAAACTCCTAAGTTAAACACAAATTGACAAAGCCATTGCAAAGATATGTTATGTTTTTGTGATTTAAGGTCCAATTTCTTATATTCTGACAGTGGTCCTTTGAAATGTTAACTGAAGATCATTAGTGATATATCATGTACATGTAATTTGAAAGAATCAATGATATTTTCTTGATCCAATAAAAAATCCACAATCTATAATATCAGGTTGAACAAGGAGATTTGATAAGTGCCTACTATAGACGTCTAACAAGTGAAGATGAAAAAACAAGACTTTCTGCTGCTAGGGCATGGAGTACTTGGGAAATGATCACATCAAGAATGTTTATTGATGATGAATTAGTGCAGAAAGCAGAAAAGGACACCTGGTGTTTACAGTTTGCCAGAATTGAATGGTATGATATTTTGAAGTAGTTAACTATATTTACTGCAAATTTGCATGCTTTTGTTTGTCAATGCACGTTAGCCATTAGAATATATTTATTTTCATGTTTTGTAATGATATGCTGTGATTTTTTTTATATTTACATCGTTTCAAAAGAGGGGCGAAAGATACCAGAGGGACATTCAAACTCACAAATCAAAAATAAACTGACAACGCCATGGCTAAAAAAGAAAAAAACAAACAGACAAACAAGTATACCATTTGTCAGGATTTTGTCAATGCAACAAAAAAAAACCAGTCAAACTAAGTACACCACGAAAAGTTACGCTTTAACATTACACATGTACAGGTGCTTCCCTTGAAGTAGGTACTCCAACTGAAAACCCAAGGTGAAGAAAAGAGATTACATGAGTGGATATTGTTAACGTTATCATGGTATAAATTCTCGAGGAATGAGAAGTGGAGCAGTGCATGCTTTCCTTAACTCCCATTAGTTGTGATAGTGGAGTACTCTTTTAGCTGAGTTGGTACAGTAATTGCTTTGCTGGGAATATTTTAGCTGCAACAGCTATTTAAAGCATATTCTGAAATAAATACATAGTTGTCTCATTGGCACTCATACCACAGCTTCTTATTTATATGTATAAAAAATTGTTCAAGCATAATCAACTCATTGGTTAACATCAACTTAAACATGAGAGATTTACCAATTATAATTTTTAAAGTGATATACTTCTTATCATTGCCTGTTTACTGCTGAAAAGACAAGTAATTTAGTATAGAATTTTGAACAAGAGTTTAGCAAACGTCAGATTCCTTAGCAAACTATGGACAAGTCTTGGAATTAGTATATTTTGGTAGATGTATGTAAATTTGTCTTCTCCAACATGCTACATATTGTTTCATATTTCTGCACTTTTCAATGCAATTCTGTTTATTGAACAGGAAGTTATTAAACTGTAGTGAAGGCATTATTCTGACAACAATTACAAAGCTTCAGTTTAGTTTTTCTTTAAAAGAAGACAAGACTTTGACTCATTGATTTCCTTTCAACAACTCCAGTTTTTTTTCAATGTGATAACAGATCAGTAGATTTTTTTCAGTTATAATATTAGACAATAAAATTGAGAATGGAAATGGGGAATATGTCAAAGAGACAACATCCCGACCAAAGTTTGGCATTAGTAACATGTCAATGTTTGACAGCTAGACAAAGATTGAAACAAAGTAAAACATGCCATATTCACAGTGTTTAGATCCCATTGTCTGTGTTTACTTTATTCCTGAATGATCAGAGCGAAAAATCTGAACAGTCATTGATGTAGATATGTCTTGTTACTGTAAATTCATAAAGTTTTGCCTAAATCTATTGTTTTAATTTTTATTGTTGATAAAATTGACAAAAAAGTTAGTTTGATAATGGACATTTCAGGATAAAATGCTGTACAAATTATGCTATCAAAATTTAAAATAGAAGTTTTTTTTTCCTTTTCATTGCACAGCAGGGGGATATGGCAATGATCTCTCAGTGTCCATCTGTTTGTGTCCGTCCCGCTGTCAGAAACACATCAATACTCCAAGACCCTATGACAGAAAGCTTTTATTTGTTGTCACATTCTTTTGACTGTAATGTATCATCATTGGACTTAGACCTTTTTTAAGATTATTGTAACAATAACATCTTGTGATCGCATCCCCTCTGATTCCATTTTATAAAATGCTCTTGATGTTTTGCCATCATGTATAGTTGACCATACTGTACTGCCATTTTGATTTGACATTTTTATCCTCATTAAACAATACAAGAACAAAGGTTACAGAGAAGAATTGAATAAACATACATATAAAAAAGCAGGCATAAAAATGATGATGAGATGAGATAACATATAGAAATTTGGTGATTAGTTTCATATTTAAGGAAAATATAGCTGTAGTCTATTGCGTAGTTTGAAATGGTATAAAATATTTTCTTCAATAACTGTTTTTACTAATTTCCATTGCAGCCATTATTTTGTTCATGGTATTTTCATGAAGTCTGAGTCACAGTTATTAGACAATGCAGATAAATTAAGCAACATTCCTGTTACAATAATTCAAGGTCGTTATGACGTAATTTGTCCTGTAGAAACAGCATGGCTACTACACAAGGTAGTCTTTATTCTTTACTGTTTTTATTTAAATGTGTTACATTACGGGGCATACACAAATAGATAACTGAAAAGTCTGTATTGTGTGAAGCAGAACTGCAGGATTCATTTCAAACCATAGGTAAAGAAAGATTCTTCTGTAATCGTTAGATTTGAAATCAATTTAATTGTAACATATGAACATAGTGGTTATGAATAGAGAAAATCTGATATCATAGTAAGTGTTCGAAATGTCAAGATCTATATACTATCTATTTCAACCAAGATCACTTGGCATCTGTTGTTTATCAATCTTCATTGTCACGGCGCGGACATCTTATTACTTTTACAGAAATTCTCTTGTCTAAAGATCTAAAATTACATGTAAGTCATATTGATGAAATTTAATGTTTTGTGAGATATATTATGTAGGTGAAAGTTAGTTTTTAATGTTTCATTGATGTTACTTATAGTTTTATTTCAAGTAAAGGAAAAATGAACCAATTGTGTTATTGTAAATTACTTCTATTTCGGTTTTAACCAAAATAAATTTCTCATTTCAGAAATTGCCACATGCTGACTTCCACATAGTTCAGGATGCTGGTCATTCAACCAAGGAAGAAGGAATTCAGTCACAGTTGATTGGAGCTACACAAAAATATAAACATTTATAATTATTTATGTTTATCATGTTCATAGGATATGAGAAATTTCTTTTGAACTTCCTTAACAATGCTTATACAAGCCAATAAACAGAAAATATTTATAAAAGTTATAGTTGAATGATTTTTAATCAGATAAACCAGTGATTGAAATGAATTTTAATGTACATTTGATCAAGTATGAATATCTAGTTTTCACATAATTAAGCAATACCGATGTTTCATTGATGTTTAAATTTGCTACAGGACATTCAGATATATAAAGAACTATTAATTAATGGACAAATTTAATTCAACTTAACCCGTAGCAGACAGGCATTTGGAAATCTGATAAACAGAAACTTTGCTGAAGGAGAACATAATTATTTTCAATGATTGTGATAAATAATTACAAAATCTTCAATTATGAATCAATGCAGCCTTACATTCCAATAAATCAATAAAGCCTTACATTCCAATAAATCAATGCTGTCTTGCATTCCAATAAATCAATGCTGCCTTGCATTCCAATAAATCAATGCTGCTTTACACTGAAATAAATAGATACAGCCTTTATTTCCAATGAATCAATGCAGTCTTGCATTCCAATAGATCAATTCGGCTTTAAACTCAAATAAATCAATACAGCCTTAATTTCTAATAAATCAATACCGTTCTGCATTCCAATGAATCAACGCAGCCTTCCTTTCCAACGAATCAATACAGCCTTGCATTCCAATGAATCAATACAACCTTACATTCCAATGAATCAATGCAGCCTTACATTCCAACGAATCAAAACAACCTTACATTCCAATGAATCAATGCTGCCTTACATTCCAATGAATCAATACAGCCTTACATTCCAATAAATCAAAACAGCCTCACATTCCAATAAATCAATGCAGCCTTACATTCCAATGAATCAATACAGCCTTACATTCCAATGAATCAATGCAGCCTTACATTCCAATGAATCAATGCTGCCTTACATTCCAATGAATCAATACAGCCTTACATTTCTATGAATCAATGCTGCCTTACATATCAATGAATCAATGCTGCCTTACATTCAAATAAATCAATGCTGCCTTGCATTTCAATGAATCAATGCTGCCTTACACTCCAATGAATCTATTCAACCTTACATTCCAATGAATAAATATAACCTTTCATTCCAATGCACCAATATAGCCTTACATTCCAATGAATCAATACAGCCTTACTTTCCAATGAATCAAAACAGTCTTACATTTTAATGAATCAATACAACCTTACATTCCAATAAATCAATCTACCCTTACATTCCAAAATATAAATATAGCCTTACATTCCAATGAGTCAATATTGCCTTACTTTACAATTAATCAAAACAGCCTTACATTCTAATGAATCAATACAACACTACATTCCAATAAATCAAAACAGCCTTACATTCCTATGAATCAATACAGCCTTACGCTCCAATAAATCAAAACAGCCTCTCATTCCAATGAATCAATACAGCTTCACATTCCAATGAATCAACACACTATTACTTTCCAATGAATCAATGCTGCCTTACATTCCAATGAATCAATATAACCTTTCATTCCAATGAATAAATACAACATTACATCCCAATGAATCAATACAGCCTCACATTCCAATGAATCAATACAGTCTTACATTCCAATGAATCAATAAAAGCTTTCATTCCAATGAATCAATACAACATTACATTCCAATGAATCAATACAGCCTTACATTCCAATGAATCAATACAACCTTACATTCCAATAAATCAATACAGCGTCACATTCCAAAGAATCAATAAAACCTTACATTCCAATAAATCAATATAGCGTCACATTCCAATGAATCAATACAGCCTTACAATCCAATGAATCATTACAGCGTCACATTCCAATGAAACAATACAGACTAACATTTCAATGAACCAATATAACCTTACGTTCCAATAAATCAATATAACCTTTCATTCCAATGAATCAATACAACATTACAATTAATCAATACAACCTTGCATTCCAATGAATCAATACAACATTACAATTAATCAATACAACCTTGCATTCCAATGAATCAATACAACCTTACATTCCAATAAATCAATACAGCCTGACATTCCAATGAATCAATACAGCCTTACATTCCAATGAATCAATACAACCTTACATTCCAATGGATCAATACAGCCTTTTATTCCAATGAATCAATACAGCCTTACATTCTAATGAATCAATACAACATTATATTCCAATAAATCAATGCAGCCATAGATTCCAATGAATCAATATAACCTTTTATTCCAATGAATCAATACATCCTTACATTCCAATAAATCATTACAACCTTACATTATAATAAATCAATACAGCCTTACATTCTAATGAATCAATACCGCCTTTCATTCCAATGAATCAATACAGACTTACATTCCAATGAATCAATATTGCCTTATATTCCAATGAAACAATACAGCCTCACATTCCAATGAATCAATAAAGCCTTACATTCCAATAAATCAATAAAGCCTTACATTCCAGTGAATAAATACAAACTTACATTCCAATGAAACAATACAGGCTTACATTCCAATGAAACAATACAGCCTTGCATTCCAATGAATCAATAAAGCCTTACATTCCAATGAATCAATAAAGCCTTACATTCCAATGGATTCATTATTATTGGTTGGTATCATTTTTTGTGTTTTTTGTTGTTGGTATAGATGAATCATGAATTCAAGTGTTCAATGAAGTACAGATTTCCTCATTGGCAATCATACAACATTTAATGTTCTACCAGCCTGAGGATGGATGCAGTTTAATTTATCCGGACAAATTTGAAGCCTACAAAGACCATATTCCTGAGGTTTCATTTGAAAGATATTACGGAGAACATAACATTATATAACTATATGGAGTAATTTGCTTTCAGATCAATAGGTCATTCATTTGCAGAAACAAATGTGCTTAAGGCGAACAATAATAATCTCTGTGAGGTCATTATTACACAAGTTAAGATGCCAACTACAGTTTGTTAAAAAAATATTTCATGTGATATTACGTATAGGAAACCATGTGTGTTGTGGCCAATTAGGGCTTCGGTGTGCAATTTTTCCACTTCAACATTTTTAGCTCATCTGGCCCAAAGGGCTAAGTGAGCTTTTCTCATCACTTGGCGTCCATTTTCTGTAGTCCGTCGTCTTCTGTTTACTTTTACAAAAATCTTTTCCTCTGAAACTACTGGGTCAGATTTATCCAAACTTGACCAAAATCATCATTGTGGTATCTAGTATAAAAAACGGCTGACGTGGCTAAATGGAATAATTAAAACAAGAAAACCAAGATAATGCAAGTTTTGCCTATTATTTTAAAAAACCTTGAATTCTACTGATCAGTTTGACATGGTTCATCAACTATATTGGATGTACAAGAATCAATGCGAAAGATACAGAGGGGACATTTAAACTGCTAAGTCGATAACAAACTGTCAAAGCCATTGCAAAAAACAACCAAAATACAAAAAAACAGTATACATGTCCATCTGATCTTGACCTTATTTATATGTTTCATTGGTCTATGTTATGTTTTTGTGATTTAAGGTCCAATTTCTTATATTCTGCCAGTGTTCATAGCCTTTGAAATGGTTACTGAAGATCATTAGTGATACATCATGTACATGTTATTTGAAACAATCAAGGAAAATTAAATTTCAATGACATAAGGTTACTGTTATTTCAGAAAGTATTGTGAGGTTTTTATTTTGAGTCTTCACGAAAAACTTTTGAATCTTCAGGCCGAAGCTGAATTTTTTGAAAATTTTAATTAGATTCTATTGGCCTGTAGATATGATTTTTACAGACCCGACAGCATTTTAACAAGCCTGGGCTGGTGGGCCTGTTGTTGAGCGCGAAGACTGTAATTATTGCGAATAATGCGACTGGATGAGTATCGCAATAATAAGAACTCATATTCTGATATCTTATACATTAATCTGTATTCATACTTTTCTAAATCTCGCATTTTAGTCCATTCTTCAAAAATCGCAATAATTTCTAAAACTACAGTATATAGAAGAGCAGTTTCTTGAACCAATAAGACATCAACAATCTATGTTATCAGGATAAACAAGGAGATTTGATAAGTGCCTACTATAGACGTCTAACAAGTGAAGATGAAAAAAACAGGACTTTCTGCTGCTAGGGCATGGTGTACTTGGGAAATGAGCACATCAAGAATGTTTATTGATGATGAATTAGTGCAGAAAGCAGAAAAGGACCCCTGATGTTAAAGGTTTGCCAGAATTGAATGGTATGATGATTTGAAGTATTTAACAAACTATATTAACTGCAAATTTGCATGGTTTTGTTTGTCGATGCACTTTAGCCATTAGAGGTTGCACTTTGTAAATACAGCTGTTTCAAAAACCACGCCTCTTTATGGGAGTTATATAATATTCATAGATATTTTTTTTGTTTACGTACTGGTTCCCAGATATGATCTCTATGTTTCATCTCATAGAGACATAACTTTGGAATGTTACCAGTATATTTACACATGGTTCCAGGGAATCTTGAATTCTGAGGGTCACCTAAAATGGAGGTACGGGTAGTACAGAATTTAAGTATATGTTAAAACTCTTAGAATTTCGGTTCATATAAATGTTGAAAATATGCCGCACAGCCCTATGTTTTGTCATTTGAATAAAATAGTAGTGCATATCAACTTTCCATTCTAGGATATAATTTTTCACGAAACTTCATAGTAAAAGTGGCACAGTTTTAGCCGTAAAGAGAGTTCCTATGGGAAATTGCTTTGTCTATATTTACAGAAATGCAACATATAATGTATTTATTTAATGTTATGCTGTGTTTTGTTTTATGTTTACACGGTTTCAAGTATACCAATTTCAGGACTTTGTCAATGGAGCAAAAAAAAAACAACAGTAAAACTAAGTTCACCACGAAAAGTAATACTTTTACATTACACATGTACCCGTCATAGGCGGATCCAGGGGGGCCTGGAGGGCCCGCCCCCCCCCCCCCCCCTTTCGTGGGAAATATTTGTTTAATTATATAGGGAATCACTGAAGCATGACTGGAGCGCCCCCCCCCCCCCCCCTTATGAAAAGTTCTGGATCCGCCACTGCCTGTGCTCCCCTTGAAGTAGGTACCCCAACTGAAAACCCAAGGTGAAGAAAAGAGATTACATGAATAGATATTGTTATTATGGTATAATCAATTCTTGAGGAGTGAAAAGTGGAGCAGTGCTTTCCTTGACTCCCATTAGTTGTGATAGCGGAGTACTCTTTTAGCTGAGTTGGTACAGTAATTGCTTACTGGGACTATTTTAGCTGCAACTGCTATTTGAAGCATCTGAAATAAATACATGTATAAAGAATTTTTGAAGCATAAACAAACCATTGGTTAAAATCAACTTAAACATGAGAGATTTACCAATAAT